GTCCTCTTGTAGGCCGGCCCACTACAGAATTTGGTGTCAGGTGTGGGATCTGCCAGGTGAAAACAATTTTGGCAACGTTCCTTTACGAAACTAATCCAAACAAGTAACCTCAGTCCTATTTTTTCTGACGAAGAATACACGAACAAGACCACGTTCTGAAACCAGAGTTTTCACCGGAGCGTCCATCAGAGCATTTATCAGAGCACCCATTAGGAGTCATCATTAGAGCGTCCATCGGAGCATTTATCAGAGCACAAAATGTTAAAGGCCCAGTTGATTTTAAAACTGGTAGTGAGTGTTATGGGTAATAATCATATTTTCAGTCATCACGTTTTATACTAACTGCGTTTATATTTAAAAATATCTTTAAAGTCATGGAACCTTTAAGTAAAATACTTCAATCCCGTGATTTGGACTTAATTGACAGCAGTTGATTATTTAAAAAAGGTGGAACAAAAAATAACAATGATGCGTACTGATGAACAATTTAATACTATTTTTGAAGCAAAACAGTTTTCTGAAGAACATTTTGGTGAGTTTAATATGAATAATTTAATGTCATTTAGAAATCGAAAAAGAAATGTAGTTCGACGTTCAGATGAACTCTGTTTAGATGAATCTATTGGAAGTCCTAAACAATACTATAAGATATCAGTTTTTTTTTTAGTAATTGATATTATTCTACAACAACTTAGCGATAGATTTGATAAAAATACCATATTTTTAATGAAAGATATAGGTTTATTATCCCTAAAGCGTATAAAAGAAGTTGGTCCTGTGCCCCAAGATGTATTCAGTAAAATGTGTGATGTCTATGTAATTAATCAAGAGTCTGTAAGAAATGATAACATACTATTGAAAAGTATTATCAAAAATTTAGATCTCAATTTATTGACCAAATTACCAGCTAAATTACATGATGACTATGAAAAATATATAAGCGGTTCAGATGAAAGTAATAAAGAAGATGAAGAAGAACGGCAAGATTTAAACAATTTTGGAAACTTAAGAAATATTTTTGAAATAATTAATACTTTGAATATTATATTTGTACACAATAATTAAAATAAGTTTAATATTGCCAATTTCTAGTTGTACTGTAAAAAGAAGTTTTTTCAAATTAAAAATCATTAAATCAAGACTGCGTTCCACTATGGATCAGCACAGATTAGAAAATTTAATGATTATTTCTTGTGAACAGGATATAAACATAGATGTTTTAAAGGTAAATATGGTGGAACATTTGTATTGTTCTTTACTCAATTATTAAGTATAACAATTTATAACACTATTAATAAATTATGAACCTATGACCTATCTACCTATATAATTTTGTTTGTTTTAGGTTACAGATATATTTGCAAGAAAGACACCAGTATTAACTAAGTTATCAACATTTTAATGTTAATATTTGTGATTGTGTACCACCATGATTCTTTGCAAAAAAAAAAAAATGTTTATCATACATTTTGTTATTTCATTTTTATATTTTATTTAAATAATTTCAAAGTATATGCATGTAGAATATATAAGAATATATATTATCATGGGTATTTTGGTGTTTATTACCTAATTATAAGATTAAATATTCTTGTTTGGTATGTTTGAAATTAATTGTTTGTTAATATAATTTAGTTATAGGTATGTAGATAAACATGGATGAATTTAAACGTTTATATGTGTATGTTAAAATAAAATAGGCCATAGGGTCTTCAGAGACAAACCTAAAATCGTCTTAAGGCCGACTTGATTGATGGGGAGTTCAAAAAAATGTGATTTAAATTAACTTTTAAAACTGAACATCAATATATTTTGGGTGAAAATTAGTAACCCCACTCCCACCAAGGTACGCCATTGGGGCCAATATTTAGATATTGTGGCCTTTTCAAATATTTTTCGCCCGACTAAATTTTTAAGACTTCGGCGCCACTGGAAATAACTAAATACGAGGCTTACGGTCTTCCAAATTTGGTAGAGATACTCGAATCACTCGGGTCATCAAAGTATTTTTCGACACTCGATCTTGCATCAGGCTATCATCAAATTAGAATTGACGAAAGCGATATTCATAAGACCGCATTTTCGACAAAATCCGGACATTATGAATATTTGCGTATGTCTTTTGGGCTGAGTTCAGCTACAGCTACTTTTACACGAGCAATGAAATCAGTTTTAATGGGACTAGAAGAAATGTGTACTGCATATTTCGATGACATAGTTGTTCACGGAGCTAGTCTCCGTGACCATCAAGAAAAATTGACACACGTGTTTGATAGATTAAGATTACATACTCTTAAATTACAACCTGAAAAATGCACGTTTTTAATTAAAGAAGTATTGTATTTAGGACATGTAGTAAATGAATTAGGCGTTTCGCCGGACTCAAACAAAGATTATCCTCGAGCAAAAAACGCGAAAGACATAAAATCTTTCATAAGGTTGTTGAATTATTATAGACGATTTGTATATAATTTTGCGAAAATTGCCAAACCTTTGACTTTCCTACAAAAAAAATATGCTAAATTCAATTGGATAGACAAATGCGAAGATGCTTTTGTCGAACTTAAGAAATGTTTAATGAATCCACCTTTACTCAAATATCCAGATTGGGAAAAGGGAAATTTTAATTTAATGACCGACGCAAGTCAGTTCGCAATTGGGGCTGTCTTGGGACAAGATCATCCTATCGCATACGTGAGTCGCACTCTTAATACCACCGAGATTAATTACAATGTAATACAAAAAGAACTTTTAGCCATTGTCTGGGCAGTTAAATATTTTAGACCATATTTATATGGCACGAAAATTAATATAACTACGGATCATCGACCGCGAGTTTTTGTGTATTTGATAAGGATATTCAATATTTAGTTATTATATAGTGTATTTATATACGAGTAATACTGTTAAGTAAAGAAAAATAATGTCCAGAGACGAACAATTAATACCTTCATTGAAAAAAATATTGAAATTTAAAATTAAAAAAATATTCGAAAAATCAACCATGCCCTTCTATTACTATTCAATGAAAATGTAATTACCGTCAATATATATATAAATATACACCATTTTTCATTCTATCCCCCTTTCATCCTCCAAATCCTCATCTTCGTCCTCGTCTTCCTCCTCCTCCTCATCGTCTAACTCATCCTCCGTTGTCGAATCCGAATCCGTAGGTGGATTATCACAGATAACTTGCAGATATTTGTCATAGGTCTTTTCCATCAACTTTTTTCATTCATCATCATTCAAATTTGGATCTACATTCAAAGCCTCCATGGTTCTGCAGTACTTCTCGGAGGCTAATAATAACACCTCGCTTAGTTTTTCCTCTTCCTTCTCCTTTTCCTCCTTTTCTTCCTTTACTTTCTTTACTTCCTTTTTTTTCCTCCTCGATATTCAGTGGCTTCCAGAATGTAGATCTGGAATCCATACCCTGACCTGTAGTTAACTGTGGTGGTTCAATGTAAATACAAAAGAAACTTTTGGTGCAGGTTTACGGTAGATCTGAAAGTTTGATCGTTAGGAAGAAACATCGTTGTAAATTACGCTCATCAATTTTATCGCTTCATCTGGAATGTAAAAAATCTTCAAAGATGAAACCATGGAAAACCGGTCAAAAACACTAATATAAATACTCCAAAACCACATGGTTCTTATAAATCGTAATTTGAATACGTTGATATTATTTTAAATACTTTGGAATAAAATTATTGTATTAACATAGTGGAGTAGTATGTATTTATATGTTCTGGCTCCATTTTTTACAAGGTGATTCAAAATATTTGACCGACAGTCCCACGGTAAACTTTTTTTAGTTACCGTGCTAACGATTTTTTTCAAAAACCTAAATGTATGTTCTGGCTCCATTTTTTTTTTATAAATTAATTTTGGTAAAATAAAAAAATTAACCAACTTTTTTTAAATACACAATTATTTTTATAAAAAAAAATGGAGCCAGAACATACATATAGGTTTTTGAAAAAATCGTGAGCACGGTAACTAAAAAAAGTTTACCGTGGGACTGTCGGTCAAATATTTTGAATCTGCCTGTAAAAAATGGAGCCAGAACATACAAATACATATTACTTAGTGGATATTGATAATCGTCACAATAAACGCACACGATTTATTATCGTTCTATATTTATGAGTATTAATTACACAGCATTTATTTTGTCATGTTATATTTATACTCGTGCTCAGAATTTAATTATTTAATAAATTATTGGACACGTTTTAATACTACGTGGCCTCACTTCGAACCGTACGGTAAGACATGGACGATAAGCCCGGATACTATGTACATTGTACATTGTACATTTGGTGCATAATATTAATCGATAAAAAGTTTGTAATTTAACATGATATATAAAACAGTGGCTTCATTGAGGGGGGGGGACAACTCATGCATTTGCTACAGTCTAGAGTTGAGCTATTCCAAAGTCGGCACATCATCAAAACATAAATACGTTTTTTCTGAAGCCATTGGCATATTGTAAATCAGAAAAATTACACGTATACTATACGGATACTTCAGTACAAATCATATTTTTGGACTGGTTAGTCGTTCCCCTACGCCATTCCGCACTTTTGCAAAATGAGCCGCCGAATGAATAATTTAATAAGAACATACTGACTGCTCAACTCTAGAAAAAACTGAAAATACGCCATTGATATAAGATTGTGCCTCGTTTCACGTTAGTCGTTATTACCTGTACACGAATGTTAATTTTAATCTAAACTACTAGTTGTTTTCATCTGAACTCTGTACACTTAAATTAACGGTTATTATTAAGTATACATAGTTATACAATGCACTGAAATCGATATAATAATATTATCACGAGATTATAAATTGTACTATTAAATCCCTACCTCGCGTTTAACAAAGCCGTACAGTACAGGCGAGAATCGAAACGTATTAAATGTGTAAAAACACAATGAAAAAAAATCAAGAAAAAAAACCGACGCGGTCGTAGAGCGCGCGCGGCACAACGTACATGAATCGACCGCGAACGACCGACCGTCACGTTACCGATTACGAATCGCAGTCGACATGCGGTGCGATAGAAACGCGCTAACGGCCGGTGGTGGTCGCGCGGTGGTCGCGGCCGCGTTGCTCTCGTCCGTGGTGCTGTTCGCGCGAGCGGAACGCGTCCCGATCAGGGTACTAGCCGTGCAGACGATCGGCGCCCGGGGCCACTGGGACTTTATGAGCAGCGTGCTCCGGGCGCTCGTGGACCGCGGACACGTGGTGACCGCGTACACGCCGCATCCGGACGGTGGTCGCGCCAACTACACCGAGGTGGACGTGTCCAAGGGGCTGTGGCAAACGGCGGACGCGACGGTGACGGCCGCGCGCCGTCAGCGAGGCGCGGCCGCGTCGGTAGCCGCTAGCCGACACCAGTGCGACTTGGTGTACGGCCACTACAGGATGCGGGAACTGCTGCGACGCGCACGACCGCCGAACCGCTTCGACCTGGTGATCGCCGAGCCACTGATGTCGGACTGCGCGGGGCACGCGGCCGCCGAGCTACGGTTGCCGCTGATCTACGTGACCGCGTCCCCGGTCATCGCGTACGCGGAGCGCGCATACACCGGCCACACGCCCGGTCCCGCATCCGTGTCTCATGCCGCGGCCAGTCACGCGGTTCCGAACACGTTCTCCCGGAGGTTGGCGAACGCCGTCCAGTGGGCGGCGACCGTCGTCTCCGTCACGTGCGCCGAGGTCGCGTTCAGGCACACCGAGCCCAGGGCGTACGATTCGCTGGGGCCCGTCGCACCCTCGTTGGTGTTCGTCAACGGTCATCTCGTCGTCGACCCAGCTAGACCGGTCGCAACCAATGTCGTCAACGTCGGCGGCATACATTTTAAAACGACTAAGCGTCTCCCCAAGGTAAGTGTCACTGTCCCCGCAGTACACCGTCATTCTACCGATCGGTGTCCCGCTGCACACCGCGAACGGGAAACGCGTTATCGTAATGAGAGTATTTTAAGCCTTCAAGCCGAGAACCGTTCGACGGAACCGCGTAAGACACGAGTTTGCCGCATTCCAACTATAAGATTCGATGTACAAATCGATATTGACCTCGTTTCAATCATCTAACGATTTTCGGGTTTAATTAGATATTTTCCAAAAATTTGACATACAGATGGCACAATATTAATGTAGACAAGTGTTTGTATATCGATCAATTTTCGTTTAAAATAATACACCTACGAACTCCGTGCTCACCAGGCTGGACAATGTTCATCCTACACTTAATACGAATGAAAATCATTTAAATGTCAATCTTTAGCACATTACTGCATTACCTTGAAGCCTGAATATATACCTGTGTACCGATTGTTCACAAATTTAGAGAATACTGAATTACTCGGCCGGATTACATTGGAATAAATCGAATTTTATAATTACAACAATGAAAATAAATCGATTACAGCAGTCTAACTGAAGATCGTGGATTCAATCTAACGTAAGCTAAAACTTGAAGTTCCACATTTTTCTTAATATTATTAACTCTAAGTTTTTGGTTATAGACTACTTTTACAAAAAATGCTCCATGGTTGTTCAATAATTTTTCTATTTTAATAAAAAGTGTGTGTGTGGTGTATAGCAGCGTTTCCCAAAGTGTGTTCCGTGGAACCTTAAGGTTCCGTGAGACAATACTAAGGGTTCCGCCAAATGTATGTGATTATTGAGAAACTTATTTTATATTATACTTGGAAAAAATATTGTTTTATATTATTTAAAAAAAAATGTGTTTTAAACTAATTCTAATAAATAGTAATCATAAACAATATTTACAATAACATTAAAAACATTTTTAAAGTATTGATTTTCTTTTTTCTAGAAAAATTAGAGTTGAATTCGAATTAAAGACATTAGGGTTCCGCAAAACACAAACTATTTTTTAAGGGTTCCGTGATTATAAAAGTTTGGGAACCGCTGGTCTATAGTACCGACCTGGGTATTGTTCAACGTGCATTACTACTAACTGACGGAATTTGTATTACATATATTGAAAGCATTTGCTTATTTTCTTAGCTTTTAGTTAATTTTAACACTTTTTAAAAAAATACCTAAAAATATTCCAAAAGGAATCAGTAATAAATATTTATAAATGGTTTTATTAATTTAATGAATCGTAAAAATGTATTATTTTAAAAATGTTAATTTGTCTTATTCAGTAAATTTTGAATTTAGAACCATAGTTGGATACATTAAAAAATAGTCATATCCGAATATGATATTAAAAAATGCTATTTACTATTTAAAAAATTACACATTGTACTGCGCATTCGCATACAAAAATTATATAAATTTTGAAATGTGTCTATAAATGTGCATTTATATACCATTAGCTTGTAAAAAAAAATCGATTTATTCTATTATAATTCGGCCAAGAAATTCAGTGTTCCCTAAATTGGCAAACGCACGGTATATATACTTAGTATGACTATTTATTATAAGTATCTTCTAATATTCATAAGCTCAAATTACTCCAATTGGTTTGTGTTAACCAATTTTTACAGGCTGTTTTAAAAGTATTAAGTACTTTGAATATATCTACCCGGGAATTTACTAACTTAGTGCTAAAGAATGTAGTGTAAGTAATACAACTTAAACTAGATGTATCACAACTACAATGACTACAGTGATGTAATTTCAGTTTTTTCTAGAGTAGGGCAGTTATCTTATTGAATTGTCGACTCAGAGACACATTTTTCTTAAGTGAAAATTATCTTGGGAGAGGACGTTAAACCAGTCCAAAAATATAATGATTTGTACTTGAGTATCCGTATAGTATACGTCATTTTTCTTACTTCAACATGTCAATGGCTTTATAAAATATGTATTTATATTTTGATAATTTGTTGACTATAGAACAGCTAAACTCTAGACCGTGGAATATGCATGAGATGTCTTCCCTCCAAATGACGCCAATGAATGACTATTTCCTAGTAGTTGTAATAAAACCATTATGCATATGTATAATGATTGATGGTATTAAATACCAATAATTACAATATGTCATTACAATAATATACCGCTTCTTTCCAAATTATAATTGCAATATATTATAGAACACGATCGTCTGATAACTAATACATCTAATATACACAGTTTTACAAATTTAAATCGAATAATATTAATAAAATATAATTGAAAAAGTATTGAATTTATTTTTATTTCCAATCAGTCATTTTAACGAAAAGAATGAGAAAAATTGTATTGTGTTAAATAATATTACTGTATCAGAGGCATGAATAATGGTTACTATATTCCTAATGATAATTTTAATATTTAAACTAAAGAAGATTATGGACATAGTAAACTATTCAGTTATATTTTCTAACTTTAGGATATTTTAGAATTTATTGAACAATCCCCAGATGGTGTTATTTATTTCACACTTGGTTCAACTGTTAAAATATCTACGGCACCGGAACGCATAAAAAAATCAATTATGGAAGCCCTATCACAACTCCCGCAACGAGTACTGATGAAATATGAAGACAAATTAAGATGCAAGCCAAAAAATGTGATGACAAAAATTCGCCTTCCCCAACGTGATATACTATGTAATTCTTAATTTTTTTCATAGATATTATTATAAAATACACAAAGTTAATAATTTTTTACGTGCCAGTATAGTGCATCCAAAAGTGAAACTATTCGTTAGTGATGGGGGTGTAGATGGATTGTATGAAGCCATTGACGCCGGTGTTCCAGTCCTTGGATTTCCTTTATTACTCGGCCAGACAAGAAATATAGAGAGTTTAGTAAGTGCTGGTATGGCGATTTCAATGGACTTAATATCCATGTCAAATGACACGCTCTTAAAAAGTATTTTAAATCTCCTCAACGACCAAAAGTAAGTAATATTTGTGGTTAACATGTGGTTGTGAATTTAATTCGTTTATTGTATTTCTGTAGCTATACAAACAATGCAAGATTAGCTTCAAAAATATTCAAAGACAGGCCTATGTCACCGACACAATCGGTTGTTTACTGGACGGAGTATGTTCTTCGTCACAAGGGTGCACCACATTTAAAATCTAGTGCACCTAATCTGATGTGGTATCAATACTACCTTTTAGATATAATTTCCGTTGTGTTAACATTGGGTTTTGTCATACTTTTTGTTGCTTACAAAGGTCTAAAATCATTTTATAATTATTATTACAACTATTCACGAGACTTAAAATCGAAATCCCAATAAGTGTTAACATACGACTGCAGTAAGCTTCATGACATTTTATATTTTTTTTTAAAAAAAATTTCATTTAGTTGTTTCAAAATTAATTAATTATTTTACATCTCAAGATTAAAAAAGTTGATACTGTAGCTAGTAAAAGTTTTACTGAATTTGTATTCAATATACCATTTTCTGAAAATAAAAATTACAAAAATTAATAATTTTATCGCAGATATTAATGACAACTCAGAATTTAATGAATTGTATTATTTTGCATTTTTAATTTTAAATAAAAAAAATACTAAGTAGACCTTTTTTATCATTAATATATTTTGATTTAAAATATTCATAATACATTTATAATATATATCCGACGGAAATATAATTATTATTTTGATATATATATTTATGTAAATCATTGACTAGGAAAAACAAAATTAGTATTAAACAATTGATTTTTTATATAAAACCAACAATTGATATTAAAAATGAGTATTAGAACATGTAAAAACATGAACAAGTAAAATTTATTATATTGTTAAAATATATTTATTACTTATGTAGCATTTTTCACATAATATATTTTCAGTAAGTATAATTCAAACCGTACATTTTAAAAGTAATATTTTGTTCGAGTATTAATAATAACCTGTAGGTTGGTTGATATTTTTCAAAAGAATATACTATTTAAATTTTCAATAATATTAAGAGTTTCTCGGTATGTTTATAATAACGAATTTCAAGCGATATTATCCGTGAACACGTACTCGTATAATATGTAAGTACGAAAAATGTTAATTCATTGATATTATAAATACGAAAGCAAGTATAAAAAATGTTCATTTTGTGTACTTAACGACAAAACGAGTATTATCAACAGAGACCTTATGTCTCAAAACTATTTTAATGGCCCCTGAGATTAATATTTATTGATTTATCATATCACTGAGAGTTCTTTTCGTCGTATTTATTAACTATTTGTATTACAATGGAAGTCATTTTAATTTTCTCGACCAAAAACCTTGTGTATATTTACTATATGTTTAGTAAAATAATATGATGACGAAAATAGTAAAAATAAAATCATTCATAGTCATTTTCATGTTAATAATAATAATTTTTGTCAAAAAAAGCACTTTGTGATATACAACCATATAGCATGTGTCTTACCAGATCGAAACATACATATTTGTAATGGTTTAAGTGTAGCGGCGAAGACTGTCAACTCAAAGGTCTTATATATATGAGTATAGTCGCAATAGCGTGTGGTGAACACTTATGAATCATGATGCGTAGTATAAATTTTAGTACTCATCCCAACAGTGGTAGATCCAGGATTTTCTTCTTTTTTTTTTGTGTTAGGGAGGGGGTTTGAAAAATGTTTTCCCTTGGGATATTTTTATAATATTGCAGTCAGTGATTGATAGTGAATTAAGATAATAGTAAGTAGTATAATACATTAATTTAAATCTAAGACTATTTTTTTGTACGAATAAAAATACAAATTATATACTTTACCTCATACTTTAAAAAAAAAAAAAAATTTAATTCATAAAGCTATTGATTTTTAATATATATTTTTCCTGATTTTGAGGGGGTTAACCCCCCCCACACCGTAGGTCCGCCACTGCATCAAAACTAGTTCATAATAATATGCACTCGTAATTTATTTAAGTTTTGTGCTTATAAATCTGTATATTGGTATATTTGAGAATATAAATGTACACGAATATTTTAGTACGTTTTATAACAAACATTAATAATAAAATGTTCAAGTAAAATAAAATGTACGAAATTTTAATAATATAATGCATAGACGTATTAGAAAGAGCTACTGATGGGTAAACATAATTATAAGTTTGAAGGTCATAGTGATGCAATTATGACAATGCTCAGATGAATTTTATTGTAGTATAATGGTAATGATGCGTTGACGGTGCATGTGCGATTGGTGCAACGAATCATATTAACTGTTAATAATCATTCACGTAATAGCCATTTTTAAGATAGAACATTGTCCATAAGTGATCATAACACTGCGTTTGAGGTTTTTACTGGTTTTCTTCTTTTTTAAAATATTATATATACGAATGCTAGATAGTAGTGCATTAAAAATAATATTTTAATCAATTTTGATTAATCAAAAACTTGGCAACGTTAAAAACGAACGATAGCAAACGTTTTTATAGACTTATATAAACGTTTGCTATCGTTCGTTTTTTGGCTAAAAATACAAATTCTCTGATAAACTTCATTCGTTCGCAATCGTGTTGTACCTGTGCAATGCCATATGTGACAACTGGAAATGTGTGTAATGGAAAAAGTTCGTAAAAAGTAATAGTAAGTTTATCATCAGGTTGAATAACTTCCCGAAAATAACTCTATTTTTTTAGATTATTTGAAATATGATTTAATATGTAATCATAGGTATTTATACTCATTCTAAAATATTCTTTAAACTTATTAGGATATGCTCTATGTTTGATACATATTTTAAAATATACTGCATTTATATAATCTTTTAATAAATCATGTATCCAACAAGACCTAAGATTATTTAAATATGATATATTACTGTTAAGTAAAGCATCCCACTTATCTTCTGAGCTGCTGGAACTTGAAAACACACTGAACAAGAATAACAACTGCATAGTATTATAATCAGGCGCGGATCCAGAGGTTAGACTAGGTGGGCCCGAGCCCACCCAAAATTTTCAAAAACAATAATTTTAATTTTGAATATCGACATTGAAATTGATTTTATCAAATATATCATATAAAACGTATTAATCGTGC